AATGTCGCTTTTGTTCACATTGCATAACGGCTTCCATATTTTATAATATGTATTTGTATGAACAAATTAATAAATGAATTACTATATACTTTTTTTTTAATAAATTAGAAAATTTCCATATAAAACTCCATTTATAAATCATATATGATTAGGAGTGGGTCAATGCTTTTACAATCACAGGCAAAATAATCGATCCACACAAATTTTCGATGAATTTCAATCGCAAATAACTTTTTTATTTGATTTCGGATTTAAACAAATATTAAAGAATATTGTAGATACCTTAATTAAGAATCGCTCACATTTTAAAAATTACTAAAAAAACACGTACGTTTATAATATACAGGTTTAAACAAAAAGATGTTTTTTACCATAAGTTTAAGACACTCTGTAGAGTGGCAAAACCGTATATTGTTCTAAATTAAGTTTTAATTATCAAGTCACATCTATTTTTAACAGTTCTGTTTTTGGTTCACCTTGATATATTTATTTTTCTGGAAAATATGGATTTTTTTAAAAAAAACATTGCAATTTCTTATATTTTTCCTGTATGAAGTACTAATGTTGCTATGGTCCATCCATAGCCTATGACAGTGACAGTTTTGTTAAATCATCCCATACTTGGACATGTCATATACAGCTTTCAAAAGTTATCAAATTGTTTTTTGTAAATTAATGTGTTAATTTTGAGGCGTCTTCTTACTTTTAAAAATGTCTCCGACTGATGTTGCCCTTTGTACTTTACTTCTTGCGACAATTAAAACACTTTTCACGTAATACTGTGACCGTCCATCCTGGATTAAATTAATGGCTCTGGCAACATCAGTCGCAGACATATTCATTTTTTAAAGTAAGAAGACACCTCAAAATTTAAACATTAATTTACAAAAAACAATTTGATAGCTTTTGAAAGCCGTGTATGACATATCCAAGTATGGGATGATTCAACAAAACTGTCACTGTCATTCTCCATAGCCTATGGATGGACCATAGCAACCTTAGTTCTTCATACAGAAAAATATTGGAAATTGCAATGTTTTTTTAAAAAATCCATATTTTCCACAAAAATAAATATATCCAGGTGAACCAAAAACAAAACTGTTAATAATAGATGTGACTTAATAAATAAATTTTAATTTAGAACAATATACGGTTTTCCCACTCTACACTGTAGTCTACAGAGTGTCTAAAACTTATGGTAAAAAACATATTTTTGTTTAAACCTGTATATTATAAACGTACGTCTATTTTTTAGTAATTTTTAAATATTGATATATATATGTATATAAATTTTTAGGGTGAGTGAAATTATTAGGGTAAGTTTAAATATAATTTTTGGTGTACAAAAAGGATTTTGGAATAAGTGTATGCGTGTAATTCATAAATTACATAAAGAAAAGGTGCACTTTTTATAAATTACAAATTACACAACATTATATTTTTCAAATTTATTAACTGTACTAAATAAATTATTTTTAGAAGAAGAGATGTATTAGATTATGAATAAAATAATTTTAATAGGAACTTTTTTTTAAACAACTATTTTAATTATATTTACATGAAAAAGACACAAAAATAATGTTTTCCAAATGTCTCCCTTGTCTACTGCTGAAGCTAACTTGATGGATGTTGTCTTTTAGCTCGCTAATCGTTCTAGTAGAACTTTGTCTTTAACAAAACAAAACAAAAATCCTCGCACGATCCGGCCAGTTAATGTTGCCATGATTAATGTGATTCAAAATTTTTAGAATTTGGAGAATGACCATTTTTTTAATATTATTTTTTTTAAGAACCAAATCCTGAAGTAGGTACCTATTAAAACAGTTTTATATTACATTTGTAGTTATTACTAAACTAGCATGTTCTTTTCTATAATAAGTTTTTCTATAATAACATTATTTTTTTTAGTAATCACCAATTTTAAGGAAGTATACGTGAATGAAGAAATGAAGTTTCAATGTTTAGTATGTTTAAGAATGTATAAGTATAAATATTTAGTGGTAAGGCATCTTACATATGAATGTTATGGAAGTAAAGAAAAGTTTAGATGCAATCTTTGTAACTTTAGCGCCAAAAGAAAGTATGTAGTTAATAACCACATCAAAAAAATACACTCATGAATAAATGTGTAATGCTAAAAATTATATGTTTTTTTTAATTATACGGGAATCTGAATTTTTTTAAATTTATTGAAAAGTTTGTAGTAAATTTACTTTTTAAAGAACTATTCTTTTTATTTATGGTATGTAGGGTTAAGGATTTAAATAACATTTAGTTTTTTAATATCTTTACATAAAATGCAAAAAGGATTGAATTTGAATTACAATTTTAAAATATCCTCTACTATCCACGTTTCTAGTTGAAAAATACTATTTTTTAGGAATAAGTAGTTTTATAAAAAAAAAGTGGCTGGAGGCGCCGGGTATCGATCCCGGTACCTCTCGCATGCTAAGCGAGCGCTCTACCATCTGAGCTACGCCCCCCAATATTTATTTATTTTTTGTTTAAAACTTTTTGTTAAAAATGACCAACTTTTTAATATACAATGCAAAATAATTATAATAATATAACCAGTTTACCTTTCACATTTTAAATTGGAATATTGAACACACCCATTCCAAACACTAAATGTTATTATATAAAAGTAAAACCTTAAATTTGTTATGTTATCAATCACAAATATATATAAAATCTATTCTTTTCTTCTTATGTTTTAGCCCATCATAATCTATTAATTTTATTTTTCACTATTCATATTTTTTGGTTTTAGAACAGATGTATCCTTGTAGTCAATGTGATAAAACATATTCCAAAATAAGATCATTATACAAACATATTAAATACGATTGTTTAGATCCCAAAATAATGTGTACTTATCCTGGTTGTAAGATATTTACGAAAAGAAGAAGCCTAAAGAGGCATATCCTTAAACATGGTGTTTCAGAAAACGAATTTAATAAATTTATTCCGAAATAACATTTTTATTAATTAATATTAATAATAATAATATAATGAATTAATAAATATTAATAATTATTTAATAAATTAGGTAGTTATTAAAATTTAAATTAAACATAATTATATATAAATATATCATTGGAAACTAATAAATTATGTATATTAAAAACTTAATAATTAATTGTTTTATTACAAATAATAAACCTTAAACTATAGGTTATAACCTTTAATATGTATACACAGAGAAAAGTAATCTCTTGATTTAAGAAAATGCATTTATTTGAAACAGGTTTTTTTGTATGAAGTAAAATTTTCCTATTCGTAGTAATTTGTTATTTACAATAAGAAAATTCTATTATTTGGTTGTAAATCATACGTTTCTTTAAAACAACTTATTGTTGTGATTAATTGTGGAGAAATATTTATTTAGAGCAATTAATTAACTTGTTTGGATGTAGTTTTTTTTCTTTAAGTAAGCTTCTATTAATCATAAAAAGTCAACTAGATTTACTTGCATTAACCAAATATCAATTAAAAAAGTCATGTTTTCCACTAAATAAATATCTTCTTGTAGATATCGAAATAAATAATTTATTTGAGCCAAGCAAAATATAGTAAAATCAAAAGATTACTTTTCTCTGTGTATGAAACTGCAACCTAAGGAGTTTCTAGTAATTTTTTTTGATAGTAGATTAGACAGTTTTATGCAACCAATAACTAAACCATTAAAACGCCATAATTTTAATGCACTGGCTTTTGGTATTTTAGTAAAATCTCAATTATTGGCATTTCATTCAAAAATACAAAAAAAAACTTCATTTAAACGCATTTTGTTAATTTTGTATAAAAGATCAACAATAATCAACTAATATTTTCTAATCCCAAAAATCCTATTGTTTTTTTTATATATTTTTTTATTCATAAAACCCATAAAACCCAAGTTCGAGAAAATTTATAATAAAAATTAAAAACTCTTATTTTTTAAGTTTAAGTTGCAACAACATTGTAATAATATTTGTATGCGTACACAGAGAAAAGTAATGTCTTGATTTAAGAAAATGCATTTATTTGAAACAGACTTTCTTGTATGAAGTCAAATTTTCTTATTCGTAGTAACTTCTTGTTTACAATAAGAAAATACTATTATTTGGTTGTAAATCATAATTTTCTTGAAAACAACTTATTGTTGTGATTAATTGTAAAGAAATATTTATTTCGAGCAATTAATTAAATTGTTTGGATGTAGGTTGTATGGATTTAGTTTTATCAAATCTTAATACAAACATATTATAATACACTGCCCGTCAAAATTAACTCTAAAACGCCTTTACCAATCTTTATGAAAATTTGTGTAAAAATACATCAACTTATATTTCAGTTTACGTGTTTGAGGGTTTTTCGAGAAAATATTTTTAAAGCCATTTTATTTAATAATAAAAAACGTTCGAAAAATAACTTTTAGTAATTTTTTTTAATCTGTGTGCCATAGGACAAACTCGCAACGGTTATAGTTTTGTTAAAGTGCTTATGTTTTATATATTATGGAAGAATTCTTAAAACAAAATAATTTAATTCATTTGCTTCCCAGTTTTGTTGGTAAGTAAAAGTGATTTAATTAAAATTTCGTGTACCTAGGTAGTTTACAAACTACAAAGTTATATGATATGGGTATTTTATTTTGGATCATGCATGTCTCAGACTTGACTCTTTTTGCTTTTAAATATGTTTGTTTTCAACAAAGATATCTGATATCGTTAAAATATAAAATTTATGTTGAAAATGTGCAAATGTCCAATATTGAGAAAAGTAATATTATATTAGATATATCTATATTATAATAGTAAATAAATAAATAAATACATATACAGTACTTCTTCCGTTAAAATAACAAACAATTAAGGGTGGTAGGTGTCATTGCTAACAAATAATTATTATTTAGCAGACGGGTAAAGAACACGGCTACGAAAACGGGGGTGATTTAGTTTAAAATAAAAATGCCATCTTCTTTTCTGTTTTCTATTTATAAGTTTGGAATCTATTTCAGATATGGACATATTGACAGGCCATTACAGCGACGAACTGCTGGAGAGCATTAATGGATTGGCGATTGGGCATAAAATGAGTGTAAGTTGGCAATAAGCATTAAGCTGGGTCTACAATTGTCGAAGGTCAAAGATCGCAGAACATAAGCTCCATCGCCACGTCGCGGGGTGCTTTGCGCAAGCTTTTGTTCTGCGATCGGACCCTTGCGACAATTGTAGACCCGGCTTTAGTGGGTACCTTCTACAGTGTGTTTCACTTTTTTATTTAGTAGAGTCGAAATATTAGTAGGCATAAAGGAGTTAAACAAATTTCTCGAAACCAAAAACCCTGCTTTCAAATCCAAAATACGGTGTAAATCAAAACATCTTTAATACGTGTTTATTTTCTAAAAATAACGAAAACTTTAATTTAAACTAAGGCTTGGGAATTTCGAATATGGGTAATTCTTTTACAAACCGAACACCTTTTGACCGACACATCTCAGATTTGGCTGAAACTTTTTTTACGGATTCTATGTCGAAAAATAAGAGATACATGTCCGAGGAATTTTGTTTCTCTCGCATATTTTCGATAATACAAGCTATCGAAAATTTGAGAATAACGAGTTTTTTTGGCTTGGAGACTCATTTTCAAAAATTTATAACTCTGGTTCTATTTGAGATACAAACTTCTTTTTTTTTTTCATTTTAATGCTAAAGGACTGAATTTCGATAAAAAAATATTTTTAATAAATATTATTAACAAATTCATATTGTTATTAACAATTTGATTGTTTAAATCAATTTTTAACAATGGCCCCCCCTCGTATTAAGTTTTTTGTTATTTGAAAAGTGAGGTTATGTCGAAAAATATTTCAAATAAAAATTGTAGATCTTTTTATTATTTACAACTTTTATATTTGACTTTTTTTTTATCCGAGCTATAGTTTTCTTTTTATTAACAAAAAACCGTTTTTTATGTGTCGCGCAATATGAATTAATGTTTTAACAAGAGTAATAATAAAGGTACCATATTTTGAAAACATGTTTTTTATGTAAAATTTGACGGAGAATACGATAAAAATACTAAAAACTTAATTTGAGGTGGGGGCCATTGTTAAAAATTGATTTAAACAATGAAATTGTTAATAACAATATGAATTTGTTAATAATTTTTATTAAAAATATTTTGTTATTAAAACTTAGTCCTTTAGCTTTAAAATGAAAAAAAAAAGATGTTTGTAGCCCAAATAGAACCGGAGTTATACATTTTTGAAAATGGGTCTCCAAGCCAAAAAGCTTGTTTTTCTCAAATTTTTGATCAATTGTATTATCGAAAAAATGCGAAAGAAAAAAATTCCTCTTATTTTTCGATATAGAAACCGTAAAAAAAGTTTCAGCCAAATCTGAGATATGTCGGTCAAAAGGTGTTCGGTTTGTAAAAGAATTACCCATATTCGAAATTCCCAAGCCTTACTTTAAATTAAAGTTTTCGTTATTTTTAGAAAATAAACACGTATTAAAGATGTTTTGATTTACACCGTATTTTCTTTCTATCTCAAAATCCTTAACTGTAAATTTTAAAAAATTTCGAAATCCTCAAAATTATATATAAAAACCCCTGTGGGGCACGTCTTTCCTTTGACCGATTGATCTAAAATGCAGGAATTTTTTTTATGATTTGGAACCGATTTGGGGGCGCCTCTGATAATTTTATATATAAATATATTAGGGTGGCCCAAAAAAAAAAAAATTTTTTTCTTCTCGTCTCTTGTGAAAATATGTTGGTTTGTCATGTTTTAAGAGCCCTGTCAAAAGATCAGTACCATTAAAAATTTTTTAGGGGTCGCTCAAGATTTTTAAAAATTACCAAAATCGTCAAAAATTGGTTTTTTTTTTATTTTAATTTTTTTTCTCGGTCCGATATTATTTTTTAATTTAAAAATAATAATGATTCTGAAAATTTCAAATCAATATTTTGATTTCTAAAGGTCGATTTTTTTAACTTTAAAAGTAGAGTATTTTGAATGTTTTTGAGCGACCTCTGAATATAAATATCAACGAACTTTTAGCGACCTTTAGAAATCAAAATATTGATTTGAAATTTACAGATTTTTTATTATTTTTAACCAAAAAAATAATATCAAAACGAGAAAAAAATTAAAATAAAACAAAAATTCAATTTTTGACGATTTTGAAAATTTTAAAAAATCTTGAACGACCCCTAAATTTTTTTTAATCGAGCTGATATTTTGACAGGGCTCTTACAGCATGATAAACTAACATATTTTTACAAGAGACGAGTAAAAAAAAGTATTCTTTTTTTTTGGGCCACCCTAATATATATATATATATATATATATATATATAAATATATATATATATATATATATATATAATTATGTTTCAGCATTCACAGGAAAATATTAGCAAAAAAGACGAGAGCACAGATTTAGATGGAGAACCAGCAAGGAAGCAAGGGCGATTTAATGACGAAGAAATTCTATATGTAATAGACACTCCGTCAGAACCTGAAACACATTCGTTATCCTTGGCATCGACAAAAACTATCTTAGGTGATGCTGTTTACCCAAAGGATGGCGAGATAAAAATTTGCTCCAACTTAGGAGACATCAAACGTGTTTTGCAAGATAGTGTTATTGGCAGAGCCATTGTTTTAAAGCAGGCCAATAAGAAAAAAATTGAAATAAAGGACCGCGATGCTATTTGCAGTATAATAATTACGCATTTTTTGAACAAAGGAATCAAACTTAATAACGCAGGATTATCTGCAGTGGCGGATAGAATTGTAGATATTTTCCCCTCAGAAAATAAAGCTACTTTTTACGTGGCTCCTATTCCCAAAAAGCAATCAAGATATAACAGACCAGAAGTTGCACGAGGCAAACTTGTTGATAAACAAAGGAACAAACTGACAGCCATACGAAAACAATTAAAAAGTGCCAATAACAGCGAAACTAATGAACAAAGCATGGAGGAACAGTCAGGTAATTTTTCTATAACAATTTTATGATATTGTCAAAAATTATTATTTAATTTTATGTTTATTATTATTTTATTGGAAGTAAGAAAAAAGAATACAAAAATAGAAAAGCATAATTTGCATCACACAATCATCTTTATAATTTTTTAGAAGAATCAGAAGATGCAACAAATGCTAAAATTTGGCTAAAACAAAATACCAAATTGGACCAATATGAATTAATAATTGAAAATTGGAAAAAGGCGTACCCTATAAGAAAGTTGGAAGGGAAAACAATACAAGAATTTTTTATTGATTGGCCAATTTTAAGTACTCAAATTGCCCCAGAACTTGTAAGCTCTACATTGTTAATTTGTCATGGTCAATTTTAATTGATTTTTTTTAAGATTCGCTTGGACTTCGAAGAAAGGTTCCCTGGAAATAATATTGAAATTACCGAAACCTTTGACACCTTTTTTCAAATAGTTTTGGAGCAAAGGAGGTGTAATTTGACGGTAGCCGACAATACTCTATTGGAATTAATTGACACTGAAATTACAAATGGTTAGTTTTTATTACTTTGTATTTTATTTCAAAAGAATCAAAATACCTTAATATGATAAAATTTTATTTTTTAGATTCGAAAAATGCCATACGTCTGTATCTGTTAGCCTCGTTAGTTCCGCCTAGGGGCAGAACTAAACTTGGAAGGCAGCATTGGAAACCCTCTTTACCGGAATCCCGGGACGGTCTTTTCGTTCATGTCAACATTGCTGGCGACATTGAGAGGGCTAAGAAAAACCGAACTGATTTTATGTACCGAAAAAATTTAACCGTTCAGCCATATGTATTGATCGTAGGGCCCTCATTAAGTAATGTAAGTTGTTCTTACGTTATTATTAATGAACACATGTACAAAACGCCATCCGTACTCTCTGCCTTAGACATTTGCTTTAAAGCTTACAAAGTATTGGATGCTAAATATTCTTATGAGTGCCAGCACTTGTGGCTATTGATTCAATGGCATATTTATAATTTAAAATGTAAATTTGATCCTAAGGTCCCCTTTATCGAAGACATAAGATTCTAGATTCTGTTTCTATAGAGATAAGAATTATGTAGATAGATTCATTTCTTTGTTTCGTATGCTTACGTAAATTTAGCTCATTTAAGTTTCTTATTTCACCCCTTTCTTGCTAAATATGAGTGTCTGCAAATTATCTGGTTTACATCGCCACTATCAGTTTAATCAAAATCCTTCATCATCTGTTCCTAACTTAAAATTTAACAGTCAAAAACCAATTATTTGTCATGCTGTTGCTTGTTGGGCGGAAGCATTACCTACCTTGAGTTGGATATAACATTGAAAAAATTGTTATGCAATTGTTCGACTGACGTTTTTGTAGTGGGGGTTAGGGTTAATATTGTAATTTATAAAAATATATATGCAATTAAACTAGACTTAAATCATAACTTGGATTAAGTAAAATTTGGTGTAATAAAACATAGTTTAGCGTTTAATAATAGGAAACAAATAATGTTTATTGTATCTCCCTTATTAGTATAACTTGACACGCATGTACAGGCGTATGAAGTAGTGCATCAAAATAAAAATGATCTTATAATGCTGGATACAGATAATTTAGTAAATAAAATGCCATTCAGTATTCATTTAATGGCCAATGGAGCACATTTTATTATTGCCATGCATTAATATTGATACGAAAGTGTTTTTTTGATTCTATTTTTGTTTTACAAACCCTATATATATGTTAGTTTTATATTGTGTTTTGTTGAAATAAGAAATATTGTAGCGAACTTCTTTAATTTCATTTTTCTGCCCAAATTAAAATAAATAAATCAGAGTATTAAAAAAAGCAAACATTTGTTTTCTTTAATCACCATATATTTCGTGAAATTATAATATTAAAAGGTAGGTACTAATTATTTGTTTGAAATATTTTTTTTTCTTCATATTGTATAAGTAAATATTTTGTTTTTTAAGTAAGCTTCACATTTAAAGTAAAAGAAATAATTACTTACTTCAAGTAAATGTTTTGTTTTTTTAAGTAACACGGAATTAAATAGGAAGGAATTATTTCTGTGTTAGTTAACACGGAATTAAATAGGAGGAAATTAATTCTGTGTTAGTTAACACGGAATTAAATGGGAGGGAATTAATTCTGTGTTACCTAACGCAGAATTAAATGAAAGGGAATTAATTCCGTGTTACCTAACGTAGAATTAAATGGGAGGGAATTAATTCTGTGTTACCTAACGCAGAATTAAATGAAAGGAATTAATTCTGTATTAGCTAACACAGAATTAAATAGGAAGGAATTAATTCTGTGTTACCTAACGCAGAATTAAATTGGGGGAATTAATTCTGTGTTACCTAACTCCGAATTAAATATTAAAAATAATTTTTTGTAATTGTCCCTTCTAAGCCTTCGTAAAAATCCATATGAGGAATATATAAAATAATACAATTATTTTATTTTATTAATTAATATTTTTTGTTTTTAGAACAGATATACCCTTGTAGTCAATGTGATAAAAGATATTCCAGAATAACATCATTATACACACATATTAAATACGACTGTTTAAATCCCAAAATAAAATGTACTTATCCTGGTTGTAAAATATCCACGAAAAGAAGAAACCTTAAGAGGCATATCCTTAACCATGGTGTTTCAAAAAAAGAAGTCCATAAATTTATTTCGAAGAAATAAAAAATATTTAAATAATAGTAATTTTTTATTTGTTATTAGATATTATGGTATAGGTAAGTTTATTATTGTGAACTAATAAAAAATAAAATTAATATTATAATGGTAAATTTTTGTATTAAAAAAACCGACCTTAACACTTTAATATGGATAGGGAACAAAAAGGTGTTTCTAGTAATTTTGAATCTGATCTTAAATTCACAGTCTGTTTTTTACTAGAAGATAGACAATTTTCTACAATCACTAACTGAACCAAAATAATAAAAACGGCATACAGATGTTTTTTAATAAAACATAAAGGCAGAGATTCTTATGATTTTAAAAATTCAAGTTTACATATACTCAGGTTGGTCCATATATGGTGCATGGGCCTTAAAAACGCAACACCTTTTTTATTTTCAGAAAACTACGAAATTTAATGTGATTAGATAGATTGTGATGATTAGTTTAATTTACTTTTTAAGGAACTATCTTTTTAATTTATGATAAGGATTTAAATAAAATTTTGTTTTTTATTATCTCTTTACAAAAATTGCAAAATTTTAATTTTAAAATAATATTTATTTTCTTCTAGTTAAAAAAAAATTAGTTGCAACAACGATATAATTTGTAGGCATAAGTTTATTAACAAAAAGGTGGATGGTGTCGCCAGGAATCGATCCCAGAGCCTTTTGCATGCTAAGCCAAATTTAAATTCAAATTTAAAAACACTTATTTTTACCTATAGAATAATACAATAATACAATTAATTAATACAAAACAGCTACATGAGTAAATACAAATTAAAAATTTTATTATAAACAACGGGACCATGATATGTAGGCAAGCGCTTTACCATCTGAGCTCCGACCCCCGATATTTATTTTTTGTATAAAAATATTCTTCTATAATAATATCTATGACTGGGTTTTCCTTTATTTGGAATATTGGTATTTAATATATAATTTAGTTTTGAGATGGGTATGGTCAATATTATTGAATGAACCCACCCCAAAAACTAAATGTTAAAATATAAAAAAACTAATATTTTGTATGTAATCAATCACAAATATGTACAGGGTGTCTCAGATTTTATTTCGGAAAATATGGAAATATGCAAGAGATCAAAAAGAGCACAGTCATAAGGCTTGAAAGTGTGCTAAGCTCAAAGTTTGAAGTCCGATGCGTTAGCGGAGGCCTACAATTGAACGAAGCATAAAAAGGCACTTCTCAGTCGAATGGCATACCATATTTTATCTTTAAGACACATTTTTTGCAGACTAGGATGTAAAAAACCTCGCCTGATTGGTCTAAATTATTTTTATAGACCAACCAAATACTTTGCTTAATTTTAAACTAACAAAAAATATTCACGTGATCATAATTTTGGTTATTAACTTTAACACCCTGTATCTCTAAAACAAAGCCTTAAACTTTTTTCTTATTTTTGTTTTATTGACTATTAAATTTTACCGAATAAAATCTGAGACACCCTGTATATTAGGGCGACAGTTAATTTGGGCATTCAAATAAATAAAAAAATTATGCACCCTCCAATTCTTTTTTTAAAACGTCAAGCACAGAGCTTTTCTGTTTTAAGATGAAACTTTCAACTATAGACTGTACATTGAACAAATTCCGAACTGGCTGGCTTTTGGATAGGTTATTTCTGGAAGTCTTAAGGCTTTCCCAGCTTTACTAACAAGTTTTAAATCGTTTTATCTTTTTCGGGCAAAAAAGTGTAAAATCAAAATATATAACGTGTTGATCGTTATACAATTCTTTTAAAATGTTCACAAAACGAAATAACTTGTGAATATTTTCTTAGAAATGTGAAAGAAAACAAACATTCTTAGATAAAAATTCTAAAAAACTTAGCTTGCACAAATTAAAGTGTCCCATAATTCGCGAAAATGTCCTTATTTAAAAAATACAATAGCGTGCTGCATTAGCATCTGGTGTAAGTACCATAAAAAGAATTTTTAAGGAAATAAAGGTTATTGAAGAAGGTGCTTCCACTTCATTTTTGACACCCAACGAAAAAATGACAAAATCTGCACCAAAAATCCAATAGGATGACTGATAGAGAAGTACTTCGACAACTCATAATTAATTTGTACGTTACCAAAAAAATTTCCAACCAACGAAGAATTTGAAGAAAATTCGTGCAAGACACCGTATATTCAGAACCGCACAATTCGTTCAAAAAATTAATAAAAAAAGAAATTTAAAAGAAAACATGCAAAAGTTTAGAGAAGAAAAATGCCCAATGGTTTTTATGGATAAAACATACATTTATTTTAGCCATAGGTACTATGAATAAAAGCTGGAATGACAACACCAACGAAGTATTACATAAGCCAGTTTCAATTAGTCAAATAATGATTATTGTAAATGCAGGTGTTGAAATGTGTTTTTTAAAAATTTTAAAATTTAAATCTGAAACGAAGTCGAGCGATTACCAATGAAAAATGAATTACAATAGCTAAACAAAATGGGTAAACGCTATGTGGTGGTAAGTTGGGTATTAGTTTTTCTTTTACCCATTTTGTGCACCATACCACAACGTTCAGGCATAAATGTCCAACTTTAGCGACCAGTTTTTCGGAAATAGGTTTTATTTCTTTTCGGTGGGATTTGTCCCAAAACACCCTTGTTAGATATCTGACATGGCTCTATAAAAATTTCACCTTTTTTGAAAATTTTCTTCGCAGCAGCGCGTTGTGACAAATACCCTATACAATATATAAGTATTAAGCTCAAATTTTGCATAAAGGTATTTTGAGCACATCTGAATCGTATGCCCTACTAATTTTTTTTTTGAGAAAAAAATTGCCCAATTACTATTCTCTAAATTTCGACCCATTGAGCATATCTAAGCTGGCTTTAAAAAAATAAAAATTCCCACATGGTCAAATAGAGCTCATCAAACACTATGTCCCTAAATTATGGGATGCACACACTGTATAGGTATCTAAATATTTTATTTTTTTAATTAGTTGTTTTGTTTGTTTTAGATCAGAATTTAATGTATCCCTGTAGTCAATGTGGTAAAACATATGCCAGAGTCACATCCTTATACACACATATTAAATACGATTGTTCAGATCCCAAAATAAAATGTACCTATCCTGGTTGTAATATATCCACGAAAAGAAGAAGCCTAAAGAGACATATCCTTAAACATGGTGTTTCAAAAAAAGAAGTTAATAAATTTATTTCGAAATGATAAGAAATATATAAATAATTGTACTTTTTTATTTAATATATTAGTTTATACAATTAAATGTTTAAAATTATTAAAGCTTTTGATATATACAAAAATCTGGATCCTTCAATTTTTGCATTAATCAACATGCAGAACGCGTACAATGTTCACGTTTTGGAAAAACAATTGGACTTTATTCAACCCAATTCTGCACTTAACTTATATTCATGCTAACATGCACTTGTACCCTTTTGCTGTTTACCCCTTCATACTAGAGTTTATCATTGGAAACTGATAAATTAATTTATAATAAAAAATAAACTTAATAATAAATTGTTTTATTAAAAAATTAAATGGATTGGAAAAAACGAAAAAAAAAAATGTTTTCTAAATGTAAAAATACCTTTATTCTTAAAAAAATTATAATATATAAAGTATAATTTGCTTAGGCTACGAATACATTAAATTTCTTTTAAATATAAACATATCCTTAAATTAAAAAGATTTTATTGCTTAGCTTAAAATCAAGAACAGTTGTAACAAGATAATTGACTTAATATTGTCAAGGCTAAAACCAACATTAAACTAAATATTAATCTTTTTTTAAACAAGCAGATCTTATTCTTGACTGTTAAATTTTAAGAAATACTTTAAGATTAACAATTTATTAGACCAAATTTTGGAAAATACCCTCTATTCTGTTCTTAAAGATATAAAACTAGACTGGATATAAATATAATTATATTTATTCTAAGATTAGTAAATATTGGTACGACTGGCCTATTCTAAAAAATATCCCCCACTCACGAAAGTGTCCGACATTTTGGAAGATTGTTTAGTGTGTTAGTTTATATTTGGTTTTGAATTATGAAAGAGCTGCTAAATTAGTGGAATTTGATAGAATTAACCACCACATGTATGTGTAGGTAATAACTATTACATAATTATATTTATGTGTGTAGTATTATGTATTAAATTTTAGATGTTGGCTGAAGAATCACATAAAAAAGAATTATGTATATTTTACCTCTAGATTATAGGTACGAATAAAAATTTTGGTTAAACAGGACAATATAGCCAAAAAAATGTCTATCTTGCAAATAAAATCAACGTGTCTGAAAGTTTGAAAAAATCATTGCAGTATATATTTTACACTGAAAAAAATAAGCGGTTGAAACAACAAAAAAAATTAATTCAACTCGTTATACACTTTAAATACAAGCAATGGTTTTTGCACGTTTACTTAACCATCTAAAAATGTCAAATTGTATTGTTTAATTAAACAACAAATAACAGTCAAATGAACAAAATGATACTTAATATTTGTTCTAATCTGCTTATCTGGTTAATTTAACATTCTTAAGATGTTAAGGTAAATTTCTTGAAATGTCCAGCTAACCTTTTTATCATATTCATTTAACACCAATAACATGTTAAATTAAAATAATTTAGAATTTGCGCTAATGTTCCAAAACGGTTGGGTTAACATTCTGAAATTTTAAAAGTAACATTCTAAATTATGGAATTAAAATAAAGAGAAAGAATTGAACCTTCACCTCGCCAGAGTTTTTGTTTTAAGTGCGTTCCACGTACTTCGAATACCGATAGACAGCTGTTTCGACCTATATTGAGGGTCTTATCAGTGTCGGGCAATTTGTTGTAGTGGAAGTTCCACTGTAAAACACACACAAAACAAACGGCTACCTGAGCTTATATGCTCCTATCGTAAGCTAACTGAGGCGAGATGTAAGAACATCACGTGATCAACACCGTCTAATGACGTGCCCTTCACTGCAATTTTATGAATTCAAATTTAACATTTTAAATTTTAAAGTAACATTTACAATTTGTTAAATGAACACATTTAATGTTTTGGATTCAAGAGCAACTAAACGTTAATTTAATAGTTTTTTAGGTAATCCTAAAAAAAGTATTTGATTCAACCAATTCCAGCTATTAAATCAAAATAGGAAAAACATTTTAATTCAAAAAAATAGTTTATGTTAAATCAATATTTTAACTGTCAAATGAACAAATAAACTTTGACAAACTCTAAATATTGCTTTGACACCAACATATAGATTAATCCAATAGTTTTTTTGATGAAACAACATTTTCAAAAATGACATTTAGGCAAACGTTAACTCAACTACATTATTTTTTTCGGTGTATAGATAGGCATTTGAAACATTGTAAAAAAATAATGTAATAAAGACAATGCTATAGCATTGTCTATATATAGACCAACAGTGGCGTATTTAGGATTTAGCTCCGGGGGGGGGGTCCAAAAAAACTAACTAAATAATATGCTATGCTTTTTAAAGTAGTAAGTAGTTGATTTTTGATTTTAATGATTTTATATTTAAATATAAATAATAAAGTACGTTGACAGTCTTGAGGTTTTTATTTTTTTTAAACTTTTTTTTGTAATAAAAATAATAAAATATGTGCGCCCGGGGGGGGTCCGGACCCGGCGGACCCCCCCCTAAATACGCCACTGTAGACCAATATAGACCATTATCATTTTTTTCAGGTTAAGTTAAGCAATAATTGTTTCAAATATTGTCTATTCTCTTTTTAACTTTTGCTCGACTTCAAAGGTTAGGATGTAATGACCATGTTTATTTTTAAAGGTAAAGAGTGGATTATCCTATCTATTTTTCAGTCTTAGAAAAAAAGAGATAGCATAATCCACTCTTTACCTTTTGAAGTAAACATGGTCATTATATCCTTTAAATTCAAGCAACCTTACCTTAAATATACCTTATATTTAATCCAAAAATACTTATTCCTTAATTAAACATAGCGTATATTTTATTTAAGGGTGCTTAATAATAATAATAATAATAATAATAATAATAATAAGCTTTATTTATGTTATATACAAAGTAGTATTTACACAGGTCAAAAAAAGGTCAGAAATATAATTAAATATTTACAAAATAGATTGGCAAACTTAATAAAAATTAGTATAGAACTGGAATAGAAACCGATAATAGTTATTTACGTGTCAAGCTTTGTAAATGAATCTTTACGGGCGAGCTGGAAGTTTGTGAGCGACGCAGGAGCAAACCCCATAATCCAGTGAGCCTAGTAAAGATTAATTGCCTAGCGTGACACGTACAAACTTTTATTTTCACCTTTAGATAACGATTTTCAAATTTAAAGTTTTAATTAATATGTCAAATGTGACATTTCATTTCATAAATTGCTTTTCTACAAGCCTGTAAAACTTTACAGGTCTTTTAAACAAGCCCGTAAAAGATTACAGGTCTGTTCCCATAATGTATCGTTTACTTGGTTACAAAAACCACAAAATTAACCTATAAAATGTCATTTACTAAGAAGGTGGAAATAAAACTTATAACTATAAATTAAAATTAAAAAATTCATCAATTGAATAAAAGGAATTTTGAATTAAAATTTCCTTAATTATACTTTTAAAATTTTTGGCCGGATAATTCCTTATATTAAGTGGAAGATTGTTAAAAAACTTAATTACAAATAATATGAAAGTTTATGTACATTGAAATTATATCAAAATAAGTATAGGTTAGTTCTTGCGTTCAACTCCCAATATCCTTTAAATATAGAATAGCTTTTTTCCCTGTAGTAATTTTGGGGATGTTCATGAATCCGCATTCTGTTTAATACTAGCAGATCAGACAATTTTTAACAATCAATAACTGAACCAAACTAATAAAAACGGCATAATTCTAACGCACTGGCTTATTTGAATAAACAATTATCGTCATTTTATTAAAAAATACTTTATATAATATATTATATTGTTTACCGACCGTAAAATCATAGCAATTACTCCCGATGACGAGAGTTTCCGAGCGAGCCGATAGGCGAGTGAAGGAATTCATTGATGGAGTAATTGAGATTCCACGCGAGGCAGTCACTATACTTTTTTGTCGAGTGGTGCTAATAATTATTATTGATTAATTTTTAGAAAATAAAAATTGTAACGTTAAATTAAAAACTGACGTTTTCAATCCTAAAGTAGTTCCAATTACTAACTTAATTCAAGTTTTTTAAGTTAAACTCTTTAAATGCTCACTTTCACTTAAAAATTACCACTTGGGTACCCGCAAAAATCGTGTGTCAAAATTATATAAATCTGACGTTTAATTTAATTCTGACGTTCACATTGTAGGCTTTTAAGACGTATAATATTAACCTTAGAACTTGGAAAGACTCTCTCAAAACTTCTTGTATATTTAATTTATTGAAAAAAAAAATGATAAAATATCCTATATTTACACTATGAATTTTGTAGAAAAAGGACCTCATAAATGTTTGGATTGTGGTAAATGTTATAAATTAAGAAATTCACTGTATGTCCACAAAACCTATGATTGCGGAAAGAAAAATTTTAAATGTATGATGGAAAATTGTTATTATGAAGCATCACGAGCTGGAAGTGTTAAACGACATATTATCACTGTTCACAAAATATCTCCTATTAACGTGGATGATTTTTTTATTAAATTATTTTAACATTTTTTTGATTTATTATTGTAATTTCAAGATATTTTAAATAAATAATTGTGAATAAAGTTTAATAAAATTATATTTTAGACCTTTTTTTACACGTCTGCAACCGATGTGGAAAAAGCTATAAAAACAAAACAAGTTTAAGTCGACATGTGCACCATGAATGTGGAATAAGTCCTCAATTTAAATGTGTAATTTGTACCAAACAATTCAAACGAAGGGATCGGCTCAAAAGACATGAAAAGGAAGTTCACTCAACACAATAAAACTTAGTCATGTATGTATGTAAAGAGCAGGGGGAAATGGGGAAAAATTCCCCAAGAGCTTCAGCTTTGGGAAAAAAATGCTGAGGGAGAAAAATCGAATTAGGAAATTTGCTACGGATTTCAGAAAAAACATAAAAATAAAGTATCCCCCCCTAGAATTGCTTCTGGACCCGCCCCTGAAAAAGTAAATGAGATAAAATAATTATATGTTAGATTAATGTTTAATTTTCTCTAGTCAGTGTAATAATTATTATATTATGTCTAAAATGTCCAAAGAAGTGTTCTTTTTAAATAGGATTGGAAAACAATTCAGTTTATTTTATATTATATTAACATTGCATTGTATAATTCGTTAATCGTTCCAATAATTTAAATAAATTAAATATATAAAACAATTGAAATAAAAATAAATTAGTACCTGAACATTTGTATTGTCATGTTTGTTATTTAACATATTATGTGCATATTTGCCAGCCTTATACAAAATATATGTTTTAACTTTATTTTAATATACTTTTTTTAGTTGGAGGAAAAAACTTTCAATGTAAAAAATGTGGAAAAGCGTACGCAGGGCCAAGTGGACTTTACCAACATAAAAAGTTTTTCTGTGAAAATAAACAGGCCCAATTTGTTTGCTCCTATTTAAATTGTAATTTTAAAGCCAAGCTTAAATGCAATCTTACACGACACGTTTTATTAAAACATGTATTAAAATAGATAATATTTAAGGATTTTATATTTATAATTATAAATAAATTAGTATAATACATATTATCTTTATATTATTTGTGTATAACAAAATTTGTAGACTTATTTTTGTTTGTTTTTAGATTCTTTTTATTTTTGCATCGTTTGAGTTTGTTTGATTTAGTTGTGCGTAGGTATTTTAACCCCACTTTAATAATTATATCCATTTTAATAAAAAGTAAATTTTAGGCAAAAAAGGAAAAAAGCCTGCAACTCAAGATAATTATAGTCAGTATATTTGCCCGAAATGCGCTAAAGTTTATCATCACAAGAAAACCTTAAGTCGACACATACGGCAGGAGTGCGGTGTGGAACCGGAACACCAGTGTCCTCATTGTCCTTACAAGGCTAGAAGAGCATATGTGCTTTCAGCTCACATAAAAGGACACGAGCAGTTTTACGAGTCTAATGTTGTATACAGAATTAGTAATAAGTAGAGATTGTAAAAAGTTTTAAGATTTTTTATTATATTTTTTATTTTATTGATTTATATACACAAATTTGCAAGGATATGAAGGCAGCAAAAATGTTTAATTTATTTTTTATATTATATTTAAAAAGGTCATTATTTGTACTATACCCAAATATTTTAAAAATATAATATAGGTGCAAATTATTATTTAAAAATTATATCTTAAAAATAAACTTTCTATAGGTACAATTTTATTTTTATATTATAACAGTAGTACATAGCGATTATTATATCGATGACTTTCTGCCAAAGTATCGCAAGCAACATAACTCAAATTTCGGGAATTGAAAACATTTTTTGTTTTAAAGTCTGTTTTTAATTAAATATGGTCTAAAGGTTTTATAACAAGTAAATAGCTTATAATTATAGCTATTTACTTGTTATAAAATCCATAGGTTATATATGGTTTAAAACAAACTTTAAAACAAAACAAAATTTCAATTACCGAAATTTGAATTATGTTGCTTGCGATACTTTGGCAGAAAGTCATCGATATAATAACAAGATAACTTAATTTATATCGGACAAAATATGTCTTGGAAAACAGGTTTTAAAAAAAGTTGAAAAGAAGACAAATATCCTTAGGAATATTATTTAAATAATAGAATTTTTAAATATAAACTTGTTCAATATTTTTTCTAAATAAGTTTTAAACAATATTATTTTAAATTAAGTTTTAAAAACCGTATGATATTTTAAGAAATCGGTGAGATTAATTAAGAACAGTACAAGTCCAAAAGTTAAATTTTTGATATGTTTTAAAAAATCAGATTTATAGTTCTAAATGCACTTTTGTAAAAATATTTTAACTATTTAATAAAATATAATAGTCAAATTGTAAAATGGTTTTAAAAGATAACGAAAGTAAAATAAACAGTCTCTTAATAAACAAAACGAGCAAGTAATATGACTAACCTAAACAAACCATATCTATTAAACTTAAGCAACATTGTTACACGCCTGCCATTAGGGTCGTATTCCAAATTTTAATACGTTAAACCACAGGGCTGGCTTTATCCTATGCATATACAAGACCAGCAAGGATGTCCAAGCAACGTAATAATAACCCAAGCCTCATTCATGAACTCCAATTGAATGGGGTCATTACTAATGGTTGAGGGGGATTTCGGATTGTACTTAGTTTTGGTTCAGTTCAAGGCCCCCAAAAACCAACTGTTGCCCCTCCTAGTCCTACACTCCACTAGCCTAAATCGGGGGTAAGGTTGGCCCGGCGACAAAATTCCTAGAATCACCTTAACCACGACCTCCTAGGGAGGATTACCTGCCGGGGCGAAAATTCGGATCCACCAAGGCGGGATACTATAGAACCGAAAGGGGGTAAAATAACCCTGGAAGATCAGTGTAAGGCGTGGTCTGCCATACTTTCTTATTCTCATACTCATACTCATATAATAGTCATATTGTAAAATGATTAAGTAAAAATGAATTTTAAACTTTAATTGATTTTAAAAAATGACTTCTCAAAATTAAATTTTTGGACTTGTTCTTAATCTCACTGATTTAATTTAGAATTGAGAAAACCTACCTACCCTACAACAAAAAATATTTTAGTTTTCGTATTTACCTTTTTTTTCTGAGTATATACTAGTATTTTAGTAATTAATTAAAAAGTTTAGGAAATAATGTTTTGTTACCATTGGCCTTTTAAAGGCATCTATGTTTTTTATAGGTTATACCCATTGGAGTTGCGTGAGAAAATTGATCTGCCTCTCTTAGCACAGTGCAACAAAAAATTTCAGCCCAAATGTATCCAACGCAAAATGAAAGTGGCCCAACATACTAAGTACACCCTTGCAGGGTTTTATGGCCTGCATTCATTGTGGCCAATTTTTTGACTGTTTGCAACTTGCAAGTCAATAAAGTAAACGAATGAATAAATCAAACAAGTAAAATTTTATATTGTATCATTGAAAAAAGTGAAATATTGAAAATTATTTATAAATACATAACATAACCTAAAAAAGGCATTTGTACCCACTAAAAGGCAAATAATTTTATGATATTTTGCTTTTTTTCATAAAACAATAAGTTCTATTGTCTACAAAGAATGCGAACTTAGGTGAGGCTTTAGCTAGCTAATTTTACCAAACCCTGCGACGGTTTTCTTAGTCCGGTGGTCTACTTTTATTAAGCATTCTACCTACTAAAGCTGGAAGACATTACCAAACAATTGTGGCACTGTGTAGTTGGCAATTATTATTATAATAATCAATCAGTAATATTCTTCTGGCTACACCTGTGGTAATACCTATTATAAGTAAATTAGGTTGTCGGTTACTTCCCAAGTTGTTTTTTTACTTAAGTATCGTTTAATAATTTAAATACCTAGCCTAAATGACATTCATGAAACAATATTCATAACTCGCTAATTAATAAACATTTTTGTGGTAAATTTTGCACGCTACAAGTAATTTAGATGATACCCCAGTAAAAAAAAGCAACTTGGAAAATAATAGACACCCTAATGTATATAGGGTTTTTGATAATTCTTAATGACTGTATATTTTATTTTTCTTTTAAGGTAAATTTTCTCACATATCAACTGGAGCCGTACAAATGTACAAACCACTTTCATAGAAACAACGTATTGAATTCATTAAAACACAACAGATGCAAATTTATTCTCGTGAATAACAGTCATTATCTCTCGTATAATAATATACTATTATACTTGGAGAAGGTCGACTTTGGTGATATGTAACAAAACTATATTAATTAATCCCCAAAACCAAAAGATGCTTGAAGTACTTTTGACCAACGAACTTGGCATTTTCAGAAGCAAATGGTAACAGTTACTCTTTGCGTCTGAACTTTATTGTCAAAAAGTATTTCAAGCACTTTTGTTATATTTTTGTATTAAGGATTATTTAATATTGCTTTGTTATATTGTATTTGTTTGCTTTCATTATGCTTTTTTACAAAAATGGCACCATGCTTACATTTATTTATGACTACAGTTGATATGTACAAAACTCTACCTAAAACATATTAAATGCTTTAGTACATTATGTTTAAATTATATTTATCTAGTCATTAGGGTTGTGCTGATTCTAGTCAAATCCTAGCAAGCAAAATGTATGTGTTCTTTATTGACTGATTCTAATTAAATAGTGTGTCAAATTGTATGTATAGACTGTAGCAAATAAAATCTAAAAAGTTTTTTTAATTTTATCATCAATTTTATCACACGATTCGAAATTCTGATCATGATGTTTATTGTCATAATTTATGTTGATAATTAAATAAAAACTTTTTTGTTTTAAGGTACTTTTTCATGTTCAACATGTTCCAAGATATACACAAACCTCGAGTCGTTAAAATGCCACAAACGAAAGGATTGTAACAAAGGCAGACATACATGTTTGGTTTGTCCTTTATCCTTTAAAAGAAAATATGACATGAAACGCCATCTAAAAAAATCACATCATGTTGATACCTTTTTTTAGATAAAAAAAATGAGATGTATATATGTTATTTGATGTTAAAAATATATTTTTTTCTAATCATATTAAAGAATTTGTACATTTTTTATTCGTTTTTAATTGAGAAAGTCTTGCACTGTGAATTAAATTTACATATGCTTCCACGGCTTATTATTCAATGAGACGAGATTTTACTTTTTTGTATTATTTATCATTGCTATGGTGATTATACGACGCGTCGGTTCATTGTTTTTTGTAATTGATTGATTGACATTTGTCATCAAATCTGTGTTTGTTGAATTTTACAAAGTATCAAAAGAGAAATGGAAATTGTGGATGATTATATAGCGAATGGTACAACCCCAGACGTCCAAGTGACTGCTGGACTTACAACATTTAACCCCTGGCCACAAAAGTCAAGAAAGAAATACAAAATACAAAACTGAAATGGATTGGCGCAGCACAAATAATACGAATTCGTTCTACAAAAATTTACTTTTGGCATATTTTTTGGAGCTAGCAGACAAATAAAAATCCTTCTTACTAAGGTCTCAATATTCCATGCTAAGATCCACATCAGTATTGCATTTTTGAAAAGAAAATCCAAAGGCTTTCAAATTCACAAACAATTTATAAGTTCTTATGTAAACCTTCAGATAAAATATATCTTTCAACAAAGGTAAGATATTAGTTTCATTATAATATGCTATCGTGTACTTCTTTTTATCTTATAATGGGCATTTTGCGTGCTTGCAGGACCAATGGTGTACTTGCCATAAAAATGATAAGTACACTATTAAAGGAAAACTTCCAAAGGAGATTGAAGGAATCAAGTTTTAGATTAATTAATATTTTTGTTATCATTGATTTACATATTCCTTGATTTTCTGTTACAAATTTATTTAATTATTTTTATTTACCGACTAGTTATTGATTAGTTACTTTAATTAAATTTACACTTTTCCGAGAAACGGCATGGGGGTTGCCAAAATGCAAAAAATAGGGTGAAAAAGTTGTATAATTATCGCGTAATTACAGTGATTTTCTGTGAAAAAGAGCATGTAGCCAGCCAAAAACACGTATCTAATGGACGTAGAATTTGAAAGTGAACTGAAAAAGCTTGAATTATAAAAAACAACGTAATAAATTGCGGAAATGCAATTTTTAAAATCAGGTAATTTGAGGTTATGCAAGTTCACAATCCAGCCTGCCCTTAGATATATTATACCTATTTTGCTCAATGGGGCGGGGGGACCAATGGGGCGGGGGCCTAATGGGGCGGGGTTGGGTTGTTAAGTTTGGGTTGGTTTCGATCAATTTTGCCCATTTTAGTGTACCTGCATAACCAAGATGACAGCTAATCGTCATAACATCAAATTACCTGATTTTCATAATTCCCGCTTTTTCACTTCCACTTTCAAATTCTACGTCTATTAGATAAGTTTGGCTTGCTGCATGTTCTTTTTCACAGAAAATCACGGTAAGTCACTTCAATTATCAGCCCTTTTTTATGAATTATGCGATAATTATACAAGTTTTTCACCCTGCGCCGATTGTTTATGCACTTTTACATCCCTCCTAACCTATTTTTGGCATTTTGGCAACTTTCCTGCTGTTTTTCGGAAAAGTCGCTAAAGTGAAAATTTACCTTACTTTCTAATTTCCTAATTACCGGCCAAATTTTGAAAATATTTAAAATTTAAAAATTCAGAGTAAAACCGAATATAGGGAAACGTTTTAGGCGTGGCCTGGCCTCCCTCCAACGCACGTCACAGTAGCTTGTGTGATAAACGACATGACGAAAGGTCGAGCAGGTAAGACGACCTTAAAAATTAAATGATAATAATGCAAAAAATCTCATTCGCGATGCAGGCTATTTGCTTAGCTACTGTGTCGCGCATTGGAGGGAGGCGAGGCCACGCCCCATACGTTTCCCTATATTCCGTTTTACTCTGAATTTTTAAATTTTGGAAATTTGGATTTTTTCCTTACTATTTTCTACTCGTCATTGATTTATTTTTAACTACCTTTTACTTATGCACAACCACTTCAATAAATGACGTAACATCAACTTCATGCTCTCCTGACCCTTAAAACCTGTTAAAACCTATCTTTGATATTTATTCCGAGGTTGCTAGATATACACAGTTTGTCATTTATTTTGCTGTAATATATTACAGCAAATAAATGACATAACCGATGTGATTAAATGCTCTCCTGATGCTTAAAACAGTTTAAAACCTATCTTCGATGTTTATTTTTGTTGCAATTTTATGCTCTCGTTATACTTGTGTGTTTAAAAGTGACATATTAAACAAAACATATTAAAAGCTTCCATTTTTCTTACTAAAATCGCGCTAAAGAAGTCACCACCACAAAAACCAAAACCAAATTTACCAAACCTTACTGGAAAATATATGATGGTCAAATATATTATTAATTCACGTACGATAGCCCAAAGTAGATTCTGTTTCCCTAGTAACTTGCTGCTTATTCTTTAATTTTATACAGTGTATTAGTATGAGTATGAGTATAAGAAATCCCCCATCGGCAACGCCTTACACTAATCTCCCAGGGTTATTTTACCCCTTTTCAGCTCTTCTACGTATCCTGCCACTGCACATAATTACCTGTGTTTGGTGGATCCGAATTTTTATCCCTGCATAAATCTAGCCTAGGAGGTCGTGGATGAGTGTCGATGGTTAAGGCCACTCCCGGAATTTTGTCGCCAGACCGGACCATACGCCCGATTGAGGCCAATTTTTTCCCTTTTTATCCCGCGATAAGAAGGGACAAAATTTTGGTTTTTGGGGCACAATATACTGACCCAAAACTAAGTACAATCTGGAGTCCCCCTCAACCAGGGAATAAGTAATAACCCCATTTAATTGAGGTTCATTAATGTAGCTTAATTGGTTAGTACGCAGATTGGTCTTGCTGATATATATATATGCGCTATAGGTACATATTTTTCTGTCGCCGAAATGACCAAATTTGTCGTTGATACACCCTTTTATTTTAGGTTTAAACCAAACCTAGGTAGGTCTGACAGAAAATAAAAGCCTTAACAAAAATATTTTTAGGATGTATTATATGTCCACATTGCAATGTTTCCTATAAAAATAAGAGATCATTAAATACTCATATGTCATTGGATTGTGGAAAAGGTCGAAAATTTGAGTGCGAAAAATGTTATAAATCATTTAGAAGAAATTTTGACCTAAAAAGACATATTAGATGTGTTCATTACAATTACCAGTAGCAAAATAAATATAGAAAAAATATTGAATTTTTGAAAAAACTTCAAAGAAATGACTTTTTAGAATTAATTAAACATTCTAATTTAGTATTGTTTCATTACTTATTATTGCCACCTTGTTTTAAATTAAAATATATTTATGGAAATTCCACTTTTAACTAAACATGTTTTTTAGCTCATCAAAGAAGATCTCACTGGATTTGTACGCAATGCAATTATACAACAAAAATTAGTTCCAACTGGTATAGACATATGAGATTCAAACATAAAATAGATAAAAATTACGATCTTAAACCCTTATGGCACAAATGTACAATTAACAATGACGATCAGTCTAATTTGTTTGTTACACCCAAACAATATCAAAATAACTTATAAATTTAAAATATTACCTGTTTAACTGAAATAAACATTAAATTTTAGTTTTTGTTTTGCTGTATTTATTCTACCTATGGTTCTTTATAAATTTAAGAAGCATTTTTCTTTTTAACATTTAATATTAATCTTACTAATCACATTTATTTTAGGCAATGGGAGAGTACACTCGGAAGAGGGAAGCTTTAATTGTCAGAAATGTGGAAAAAAATATACACAAAAAGAAGAATTCATAAGACACATTCAGTTTGAATGTGGAAAACAACTAGTTTTTCAATGTCCTTTATGCCCTAGAAGGTGTAAAAGGGATGATGTTCTTAAAATTCATTTGCGCAATATTCACAGAATAGATTAGATTATAATTTATATATGAAACCTTTAACCAATTTTTAATTATAGTTAATTAAGTAAAAGCAATTTTGCTTTGTATGTAATTCGGTTTTTTGTCCAATAAAAAATAAGTTTTTAAATATTTTTCTGATGAAATCATAAATAAAATGGTTTAAACATAATTTAGTGAACAATTATTTTATTAAAATTATAAGACTGGACTATATTTTTTTAATAGTTTTATTTTTAATATACTCAATTTAATTAAAGACTGTAAATATGCATAAGCTTTTTTAATATTTTTAATTTTTTTTACACTTATTCATGCTTTAATTAATTGTAACAAAAGAATCTTAATATGTATGGTACCTATGTTGTTTTAAGGTGGGTATAACTTAGAATTTAAGCATATAGAAATATTAAAGATGTTAACAAATATTAGAACAGGACATATAAAGGGTGTCTGAGGTTTTAGTAGCAGAACTTCACCAGCCGATGTAGAAAGTTAGTGCCCATATTAAATTTCGATAAAATCCTCGATAGGCTCTGCAAATTGTCGATGTCTAACTGTGATTTTGTAAATATGCACCCTGAAGATCTTGACAGCTTACACTTCTAGAAAATAATAATTTACAATAAAAAATGCATTTTTATTTTTGAACACTACGACAAATAGGGTAAACCACATAGTTATTGGACACTTTAAGAATATTATTTATTTAAAATTTATATGTTTTAAAGATTTTAGTTTTTTTCTTATAAATATATAAAAATGATAGTTTGTTTAAACTTTATTTACCTTTACTTAAAAATAAGAATATTTGAATTTTTAATATTAGTTTTATAAAAACATGCAAAAAAAGTATATTAATTGGACATTTTATATAGTAATTGGACACATGAACCATAGTTATTGGACATACAATTTTTATATAAACATAACAACTACATCAAAAAACATAAAATTGTTAAATATTTTTTAAAGATAAATTGCTGTTTTGCAAATATCATATTATTTATATATTTCTTTCTCGGATTCCTCATCCCTTTTATGGATTTTGAAGGTAACTACTAATTCCTTTGTCTGACTTCTGAAATAGTTTGTTGCAAATATCATTAAGTGTTATATCTCTAGTTTGTGAAGTAATTATAATATTTAGGCCGGAACATTATGATTTATATACATCTAATATTTTTTCGGGTGGTATGTTAAAAGTATTTTCCGAATTTATTAATTTTGTTACCATTAGTTTTTTATGTTCTCTATCATGCACTGTATTTAAATCACTGTTATTTTGCAAGATGTCCTGTGACGAAGTTACTCTCTAAAAATGAAATTCTTGTCAACAGCAATTTGTATCCAGGACTTTAGCAGTCAATTCCTATGAAATAGTATTCGCTAAATCCGAAAATAAAGTAGAACAGTTTTTGAAATATAATCAATTTTACATATAATATGGAATTGACTATATATCAAAACCTGCTTAACTTTTATAGTTTTTGACGGTCTTTTCGGATTCAGGGGACAATTTAAAGAATTTAATTTAAAAGAATTGGCTGGTAAATGTCCGGGATACAAATAGGGTATGAAAAATAGAAATTTACATTTTTTACCAACCAGTAATTGGACACTGGGCATTTTACTGTTTGTTTTCATAATTAAAATTAAAACGCATTAAAGTGGCAATGTTTAAACCATGAGGAAAATATTTATACCACACACTGATCTGTATACACTTTTTATAAATATTTTGTATTGTATTTTAAACACAGCCCTGCTCTTAAAAAAAAACAACACCAAAGTAACTTTTATATTGGACCTAAAATAAACTAGTTTTATATTATAACCAACAGATATTTATAATTGTATAATTTATAATGTAAATTTTCCAATAACTATAAAGTGTCCGATAACTGTCTACTTTACCCTACTTATTATCTAAAAATGATTTAAATTAAATATTTGTATACAGCGACATGTCGCGACATACAAAAATAGAGTAAACATTCGCCTAAGAATTGGAAAAACTGGTAGGTATAAAATATATTCTCATTTTAAGCACTTGGGTACATCATAACTAAGTTTTTTTGCCTTTGCTTGAATTCTTTACACTTTAACACATTTTATCTGATTAGGCAATATTTGGACAACTTTTTAGCTACTAAAACCTGAGACTTCCTGTGTACAGGTTTTTAGATGTTAGGTTTAAATAATATTTAAGAACATACTCATATTTAAATATAAGACTGATCATAGTATGGTGTGTGAATAACTATAAAACCTTATATGAAAAATACAACAAATTACTAATAATGTTGGTTTTATTTAATATTATTTACAGTCAATAAATGTTTGCGTGCCATTTTATATGTGCCCAGTTTATAGTATAGTTTTAAAACATAAAATAATTAATTTTTCAGGTTACCCAAAATTTCTTTGTCCCACATGTCTAAAAGTTTATAATCACAGAAGCAGTATGTGGAGACACATGAAGTACGAATGTGGAAAACAACGACAATTTAAGTGCACGATTTGTCCTAAAGATTTTACACAAAAAACTAGCCTAAATGCGCACATTAGAGCTGTTCATAACAGTTATTAGAGTTACTCTAAAAGCTTTGTTTAATTATGCTACAACCAAATAATATTTGAATACAGTGTTATGCTTGATTACTAATGCTTTTGTTATAAAATGTTTTATTATTTTTAAGTATTCCTGAAAATAAAAGTTCAATGTTTAGATAATAATATATATATTTTTTAAATCATGGTGTTTTATTTATAAAAAAGCTTGTTATATTAAATTGATAACTAATGTATTTTTTCAGGATTTCAGCAAAGTGAATATGGTTATTTTTGCTGTCCAACGTGTCCCAAAACTTACAAATACGTCAATTCTCTATACAAACATGTAAAGTACGAATGCAACGTATCTCCGCAATTTTTATGTAATGATTGTAATAAAAAGTTCAGTCGCAAAGAAACTTTAAAGCGGCATAAAATTACTTGCCGTCTTTAAACTAGCTGCTATGGACTGTTTTTTTATTTTTAATAATTATTAATATTATTATTTTAAAGAAAATGACGCATAAACTATTCAGTACGTTGTAGGGTAGAATACGGGAAAATATTTTTTTAAAAATCTGGTCTTCAATTTGGTGAAATAAAAAATGTCAAAGTTGAGATTTCACCATATTTGTGTTTCGATACCTGAACTACCTAAATTGGTACTTGGGAGTAACAAAATTTAATAAAAATAATAAAATATTTTAAAATCGCGAATATGTCGACATGGCTTTTATTTTGGGCGAATGCCATCAAAACTCCATAGAAGCTTCAAACATTTATGTAGAAAGATTTCCGAACCAAAGGGGTCCGAGTATGAATGCGTTTAAAAGACTACAGGACCGAATGTTTTTACATTACATCTTGTGGCAGTTGCAGGTCAAGACCGCGGTCATCCTCGTCTTATTCTAACCAAAATGGAAAATCAAGTAAATTTTTCGCATGTAACTGTTATACATTCCTCGTGGATTACCAATTGATTTCCAACTCTATTACTGCATTTGGCTGTTGCAACAAGTGGCTGGAAACCCTACATCCCATGTTTTGTTGACTGATGAAACGAATTTTTCAAGAAATGGATTTTTTAATAAACACATTTATCCCAAACCGTTTGAACGCATATAGCTGTTGCGCAAGAGCTATATGCAGTTTTCTAAAGAATAAAATAAACGAACTGCAGGAACGGCAGACAATCATTTTCTAGCGGCAATCCAGAACATGTGGACACAATTAGACGAAGCCCCAGCTCACTTTGCTGTCCAAGAAAGAGTATGGCTAAATGTGAAATTTACAGGACAGTGGATAGGTCAAAATGGGCTAATACCAAGGCCACCATGATCCCCAGATCTTACTTCGCTCGATTTTTTTTGTGGGGTCACATCATTATCCCTTGTTTAACGGACTCCAGTTCAAAATGAAGAAGATTGTATAAATAGTATTCAAGAAGCTTTCGAAACAAGTAGGTACAAAACAACATTGTGAGGAGAACTCAACTTTTTTTGAAAGGACAAAATTTTGAGTAGGTAGTTTTAGTAATTATTTTAGTATATTTTGTTATTATTCTTTAGGTTTCGTTTCTTGATTAAGAATAGAAGTTTTCCAAATTTCCAGCACTTATTGTGTTAAACGTTGCCAAGTTTAGTGTTCAATATTTTGCTAATATACAGCCCGTTCAGAGTAAAACCGAATATAGGGAAACGTTTTGGGCGTGGCCTCGCCTCCCTCCAACCCGCGTCTCAGTAGCTTGTGTAATAAACGACATGAAGAAAGGTCAAGCAGGTAAGACGACCTTAAAAATTAAATGATAATAATAAGGCTATTTGTTTAGCTACTTGCTAAACTGCCGTTGGAGGGCGGCGAGGCCACGCCCTATACGTTTCCCTATATTCGGTTTTACTCTGAACGGGCTGTATATTAGCAAAATATTGAACACTAAACTTGGCAACGTTTAACACAATAAGTGCTGTATTTTAAAATATAGCTCTGTACGTTTGTATTATTTTTCCCGTACCCTACTGTCCTCTACAACGTACTAAAGTTTATCCGTCATTTTCTTTACACCCTGTATAACATTTAATATACAATAAAATATGTTTTAATAAAATAAATTATTTTAAATAATTTATATATCTGGTGTTTTTTATGTCCAAAAAGTATTAAACGTATTATACGCAAATTCATATTTTTGGTATTTTTTAGATTTTAGAATATTTTCCTAAATATAATAATAATATTAATCAGTAAAATATGCTAAAATCTAGAAAGATTCAAAATATTATATAATAGGTATATCAATAATTATTTTTTGACATTCCTAAAACCAATATTTTTAATTATGTGTGTACATTTTAGCAAATCAAAACATTATAATTCCAGAAATAATCTAACATTTTTATTATCTGACGCCTCGCGAAAATTTTTCTGTAATGTCCCACAATCCTACAAAGCTTTAAGAACTTGATTCGATGGCAAGAAATTTAATTCGATGGCAGATATTATAAAAAGGGCCAACAGAGTCAGGAAGGCATTTGTCCGATAATTTGTTTTATAGTTTACTAAAAAGATAAAGGACATTATAATTATTTAAACCGTAATGTAGTGAGCCGTCTTGTTGAACAATGTAGCGCCGCGCATTTTCTAATAAAAC